TAGCCACTTAACTCTTTCCTTGAGCTCCCTCCTTGCTTGAATTGTTCTCAACAATGGTGAAGATTTATTTGCAGAGCTTCCTCTCTTGTTTGTGGTGGGTTGGCCGAAAATAATGGAGAGGGAGGTTGAAGTTGGCTCTTTTGTCTCAATAGACCAATAGGTGTGTGATGGGATGTCCACCTTTGTTCTCTTAGATGCCTTTCAACTCAACCAACATTTCCTCATCTCCATCCTCTCATTTCACCCGCACCAACTCTTGATTTGTGTGACCAAAATTGTGGGGTGGCCCCCACTTATGTGGGAGGTCATGCCTTTAAGTCCTCAAGTGTACATTTGGTCCCCAAAGTTGTATTTCTCGGATTGTTATAATTATATTTTATTTTATCGTGCCAAATAAAATATGTATCATATTCCCAATCGATATGAGCCTTTAGAATGAACGTATGTTCCCAACTTTAATTTACATGTTCCCGGAAATTATTTCGGGCTTTTAATCGACACATTAACAATACCAATAATTGGGTCTCGTTTGACCAACTGGTCAATTCTATGTCTTTTCTATGGCCTAACATGAATATTCACCACTATATAAATATTATCTAAACCAAGATGAATATAATATGTGGTCCCAGAAATATCGGGTGGTCCCCGCTCCCGGTGTGGGCCCCACGTGCATTTACTCACACAAAAGTAATAACAAAACTTTGCAACCTCGTAAATTCATTCATTATTTCTCAATGTTCAATACATAATTTACTATAAGTAGATATACTTGGATGGTGTTACAGCTAATGCACATCCAATGACCGTGTGAGCTCTTCCAGAGTCATATCTTCCAATATTTTTGCCTCCTCGATGGCACAAACAATTCATTCATACAAATCGGTTATGGTTCTCAGGATCCTCTCGACTAGTCTACTCTCGTTCACGACCTCGCCGTTTCGTTTCATCTTATTCTCAATTTCGGCAATACGTCCGATGTATTCGCCTACTGACTCAGTCTCTTTCATTAGTGTGGATTCCAGTTCTCCCGAATGATCTCTAACCAGACTTGCTTCACCCGGTCTACTCCTCAATAGATCTTCTCCAACGTGTCTCAGGCTTTCTACGAGGTTTCACAATCCGCAATTTTTTCAAATCCGGATGCATCCAGTCCCTGAAATATCCAATGAAGTGCCACCTTGTCTCGTTGTTTGGCATCCTTCCATTCCGTTGTGCATTGGTTTGTCCAGCATCCTCGACTGGCTCTTCAAATCCTTCCTCAACAATAGTAGTGTTTTCATCTGTATACTCCACCGATCGTACTAGCCCTTCTCAAGTTTGAGTACCGGGAGTCCAAACATGTTACCGAACATCATCACGATTGATCAGAATAGGCGGCTCTGATACCAATTTGTTGGAAGTAAATCTATTCGATCACCATAGATGTTGTTGGCTTGCTAGATAAAAAAACTCACACACGCACATGGTTTGTATTAAGAGGAGAGAACTATTCAGAGGTATGTGCAAGGAACCAGGTCAGAGCCACTGACCAAATTGCTTACAAACACAAACAATATAAACTTTAGTTTCTCAAGCCATTTCTATCGTATTTATGTTTCTAAAATTAAGCTTATTAACTAATTAATTGATTTCCAAAAATGTTTGCCACTTTTGTGGGTGTTAACATGGCAATTCAAGTTGGGTTTTTCAATATTGAAGTTGAAATTTGATTCATTTGCTTCTATCTCGATGCTCCGCAATGGCAGAGGCCCCAAGCTTCTATAGTACTTGACTCTTTTCCTTCGACAAAAGGCAATAAGTGCGGATGATATTTCATACAGACACTATTACATGGAAACTAATCAGGTCGCTCATTGGGTGCGGAGCCTCTGCCTTGCTTCAAAGCAAGGCAGAATGTCTGAAATTGGAAATTGGACGACCGAAGATCTTGGGCTCCACCCCTTCACCGATCTCAAGGTCCTCTTCGTCGTTTTCCCGCCGCCGGATGCCGCAAGGCACTCTACCTTATTTCAGAGGATCCCGATCCTCACTCATCTGCTTTCTCAAGTTTTTCCTTCATTTGGAAATTGTACTATCTTCTTTCACGCCTCTTAGTTTCCTAACCGAATAAGGGGGATTTATATGTTAGATCTTTATGGTTGTCCAGATATGCGTATTAATTAGTAGTCTTGTTTTAATTTCTTCAATGTATTTTTTCGTTAATCTATTTTATAACTTGAATGTTTATCACTTGAATTTTGTAGAGGCCTTGGTCTAGCCCCCTCTCTATTTTACCTTTTAAATTTATTAATAAAATATGATAATGTTCCCCAACAAAAAAGTAGAAATTTTGAGTTTTGCTTGTTTAGAATTAGACCCCTTGTACTCTCTTGGGTGCTTGAACGTTCATTGAAAATGAACCCATCAATCAGGGGCGGACCGTAGTAGAGACTCAAAGGGGCTACCGCTTCCCCAATAATTTTTTAGTGTATATATACATATATGAAAAATAAGTTTCATCCCCTCAAAAAATAATTCCGGCCTCCAAAAAATATTTTGAACTCCCCAAGATGATTATTTTAAAAAAGTTTCAGACCTTTAATAATGGTGACCCGGAGATGTCAACTTTCATATTATTATGTTCATACGTTTATTATACGGGAGTTGTTTGGGGCTTTCAAGCTGGATTTTTTTCGGCTCTACAACAAGTTGTTTTTTCATGGCCGAATAAAATTTTATGAACATTTTTCTTAAAAAAATTGTGATTTTTTAAAAATAAATCACATAGGTTAAAATTTTCTCATTTGTACAAATCTCGATCACAAATTTCTACTTTACTACGTAGTATCTCACTTCCAAGTGAACCTTGCCCTTATTTATGACATAGAGGAGTATGTTTACTTTACAAACAATTCTTTATCTTATAAATTTTACTTTGCTAGTTTATTTATTTATTTACATAAAGTCAAAGGCGAAGCTATTAATAAGATGAGAAAGAGATGTATGGGTATTAAATTGAAGGTATTTTAAGAGTGAATTTTCAAAATAAGAGTAAAATATGGTCCAAATACAAAAAAAGAATTATTGTTTTAAATTCCTTAAATAGGAATTTGTGTGTGAGGACAAAATACACCTTGTAGGGGTTTGGGCTGCCGCCGCCAGGCGTCGGAACTTGGCCACCGCCTATTGTCGGGATGTCGCGACCACGTTCTGTCACCAATGTAGTGACCTTGATTGTGCAAGTAAATTAGAGTACAATTAATTATATTAATTATATATTAGGCGTAAAAAATTCAGGTTTATATTTAGGTTTAGTTTTAGGACAATTTCTTCCTTCCAAAAGGTGGAATCTCACATCCCATTAGCCCCCATACCCCGATCCAACAAGATGGTAGACCTTATACTCATGCGCACTAGAAGTTCAGTCCAACACGCAAAAGCTGTAATATCCACACGACCGCTGTGGATTTCAAGCTTTGACCATTATTCCAAATTTTCCACCACTCGACCAATTAAGCTACCCGTGCGGGTATGATAGTACAATTTCTTAGGGGTGGGCGCGATCCGGAACGGTCCGGTAAACTAGTAAAACCCGTAATGTATCCATTAGGCTTTTAACGGTCCGGTACGGTCCGGTTTCAAGGATGGAACCGTTCGGTACCATGCTGTTTCGGAACGGTACAAAACGGTACAGTACAATGCCAAACACATGCTAAAAAATTTGAACAAATCTTGCAATTAGTAGATATCTTCACACCAACCAACTCACATGAAATGTTGATATAAATACAAGAAATTGCATACTACGTATGTAGTACTAAAATTCACAAATATACAAACAGTGCAACACAACTAAGAAAAAGTATATCAAAACGATGACGTACGAGATAAATGTCATCTTTAATTTACTAAGTTCATGTGAAAATATAAAAAAAAAATCATCATATTGTTGAATATAATAGAAATCTTCAATGTTCTTCTTCTCCGTTCTAGGTTAAATATTACTCCGTAGTTCTAATTTAATTTATAGTTGAACCTTGAAAGCTAAGATTTAAACCATATTAATTAAGTTGTAAAATTGCGCAAACATGATACCACAAAAAGTCATGTACACTACATTACTAGAAATGAATAGTCCTTAATGATTTCTAAAATTTTAATATTCTATGAATACATATCCAAATATAACATAAATTATCTAAAATAAAAAAAATAACAATATATATATATAAACACACACACATAGCTAGTTTGGAACGCATGAATACATACTTGGGGTATAAATTAAAATTGTGTGTCTATAAAAGAGATCTAGAACCGTTATTTTCGAACGGTTCGGTCCGGTATTTTTCGGTTCTCAAAATCTAGAACCGGTCCCGTATCCGTTTCAAACGGTTCGGTTTCGGTACGGGATAAAAATCAATAGAACCGTTTAAATACCCGATATTCGGTTCGGTACCATTATGGGACGGCTCGGTACCGGTTCGGTTCGGGTTTTATGCCCACCCCTACAATTTCTCATATTAATACTTCGTACTTGAGCGTGAGGCTTCCCAAATCCCAATCTACCTGTCACTGGGCGCAGATCCTTGCAAAGTTTCACCTTTTGAGCCCGTTTGGAGACCTCTTTTTTCGGCTTATCAGGCTTATCAGCCAGCTTTTTCACCAAACACGTAACTTTTACTTTTGTGTGCTGAATTGTGTAATAAGCAGAAAAAGTAAGGTTGGAGTTACTTTTCTGGCTGTATTGGCTGAAGTTACTGTAGAGGACTATTTTAGCTATTTTTACATGTAATTTTTCCTATAATTTATTAATAAAATATATTTTTAAAATATTTTTTTCTTGAATCAGCAGAATCAGCCAAAACAGCCACTTCAGCCAGAATTTCATAAATTTCAGCAGAATCAGCCAAAACAGCCGATTTTCGTGCTACCAAACGGGCTCTTTATTATTACAACAACAACATAAAGTGAAAAGAAAGTAGAAATTCAAAACAGACACTGGCCTCCTCGTAAAAGATTGCTACAAGTATTGACATGATAATAAAAACATTATAAATAGCCAGAAAGAAAATTTAAAAGCGGCCTGGATGACTGACTCTATTCACTCCCCTCTCTCTCTATCTCTATCAATATGTGTGTCAAGCAAGTGATCTATCTATCTATCTATGCTCTTTATGCCAAACAAACAAATCAAATTAAAATAGGCTAAACAAAGAAAGAGTGAGCTTTCCGGCATGAGAATAAGGAAGCATGCGAAGGTCTCACCTCTCACGTACGCCGCCGCCTCCCTCAACTCCTCCGCCCTTCTTCAGACCCATCTCTGCCAACTCAATCAGTCTCCCTGGGACGTCGTCACCTTCCCTCTTCAAGTTGAAGAAGGAGAACAACCTTCTCCCTCCACGCCGTGTCCGCCGCCGCCGCCGCACGCTCCCCTGGTCAGCCAATCTCTCCTCTCTGCCTCTCTTCAGATCCGCCGCTCCCCGTTTTTTATTTCCCTTTCAATCAACGCTTTTGCTTTTGGGTTGTTGCTATTATCACTTAGGGCATTATATGCTCGAAGGGGACTCCCATTAGGGTTCGCGGGAGCCTCCAAATGTCACCGTTTCCGTCGTGTTTTTATGCATTTTCACTCGATTTCTGTGATCTGTTTCCTCTGTTTTCCCCTATTTTCCCCTTTGTGTTGGCTCTTACTATTCTTATTGTTGTTTTGTATCGCCATTTCAGTTCGACGGATGCGGAAGTTATCCCCTTGACGGTTCAAATGAAGCTGTTCACAGGTTAGTGTTGACGCCGTCTACTCAATTTCACTCTTTCCGTCTATTCTCTTCCACATTTTCTTCCTGCTTCCTGATAACAATAATTAGGGTTTCGCCATTTCCGATTTATTTTCCTTCCTAATTGCGGGATTTCATTTTTCTAAGCCCTGAATCCGGCATGATCTCTCCGGGCAGCCGCTTCCGGGACGCGGCAGAGCAAGAGCATTCCGCGAATCTGTGCTGCAAGACGGACGGCAAGGCGTGGCAGTGTAAACGAGAGGCCAAAGTGGGCCACACTTGGTGCGACCACCACATGGAGCAGCTCAAGCACTGCAACAAGGTGTTGCCGGTGACGGAAAATAAGCAGGCCGCTCCTCCTCCGGTGCCCGAAGAGTCCGTCGCGGCTACGACAAGCCGAGGGCGCCGCCCTCGGCCGAAGAAGTCTTCGGGAGTCTCATCGAACCCGTACGACTTATATTATTACACCGGATTCGGCCCGCTGTGGGGCAAGAAAAGAGGTCCGGGGAGAATGAAGGAGAACTACAACTCCCCGAACACAGCAGAATTTGAGCCGATAAACGGCGCAACTTCTTCGAGTTCGGAGATGGATGGTCACGGAGTAGAAATGGATTATTTTGAAGACGAATTCCCGAGTGACAATGACAACAACAATGATGGCAAGAAGAAGAAAGTACGGAAACCGGTTAAGGCCCGGTCCTTGAAATCGCTCATGTAAGACGACCATACATATTCCGTACTATTTTTCTTCATTTCTTGTTCTATTTTGGATCCAGTACTCTTTCATTTGTAGTGTGTGGAGATGTTAATTGTATACAATTCTTGCATGAAAAATAAATTTCTTCAATTGTTTTTGCTTTCAGTTATTTATCCTTAAACTTTTAATCTTAAACTAAACATCATATTGCACAGTTAGAGAATCGTGTTTGTTTCGTTAATAAGCGTGGTTGTCTGAAGGTGTGCTTTGCGGCGGCTATACGTACGGGGTGAAAATAACGTGTCGGGTAACTTCGTGGCTTGTCCCAATGGGATGAGGGCTTTATTTGTAATTCGCTTTTAGGCCACGTAATTGTTTGACTGACAGTTTGACCTCTTATCCGTCTTAACCCGACGGAAACTTCATGCGTAATAGTACCCCGTATTATTCGTATTAGGGAGTATTATTGTATGAATTTCACTCCCATTTTCTGTGGAAAATATCCATTATCTTGTCAAATTAAACAAACCTCTTCTAAAACTCTAAAAGTGAATAACTTTTATAGTATTCAAAAATTTCAAAATATCACATAAAAACATTTTTATTTGGTCCACTTCCGTTTCATGCAAACTTATTGTCGTATATTCCACTTTTTTATTTTCAAACAATTGTTTTCCACTTTATCTCTCTAATATGAAAAAAACATTTTTATTTTTATAATCTTAGTTGTTTATTTTTATCCTCTCTTTTATACATATTTTTCTATAATACTCCGTATTTAATATGCTTGCAACTTTAATCTCAACAGTGGAACATAATTATCAGCTAATTCGCACATTAGTGCATGAATTATTGAGGTCTCATATAAATAATACGAGTATCAGACTATGGACGAGTTAGAATATTATGAGGTTGTTTTGTAACACTGTTTTTCAGCTTATCAACCAACTTTTTCACCAAACATGTAATTTTTTTTTTCGTGCGTTGAATTGTGTAATAATAAAAAAATATAAGATTAAAGTTAATTTTCTGGCTGTATTGACTGAAGTTACTGTAGATGACCATTTTAACTATTTTTACATATAATTTTTTCTTTACTATATTAATAAAACATATTTTTAAAATTAAATTTTCTTGAATCAGCCAATGCAGCCACTTCAGCCATAATTTCATAAGTTCTAGCAGAATCAGTCGAATCAGCCGATTTTCGTGTTACCAAACGTGCTCTAAGTTTTCAACAATGTATAGTATTCCACAATCAAGTCAGTACAAATGTAATCAATTATCTATTAGGCATACTCTGGACTAATCGTATAAATAAAAAGAACTACTCCGAACTTTATTAATTAACAAGCATGAAATGTCAAAGTACATATCCCATTTTATGAATTTCTCATGGCATTTTAGTGACAGTAGCTCATTTGAATGATTCACATGCTTTAGTTGTGGAAGAAGGGTGAGTGAGATTGATAACCACATTTGCATCTGTTGTTACTCTGCATATATTAACATGAACTTTTGATGTTTAATTTTGGAAATAGTAATTTCTTAATTGCTATTACAAAAACATACACCATGCCTTGCGTGAAAAACTTCTAGCTTATTTTTTTTTACATGCACAACTAACTGTAATCTGACTTTATCTTTATTTTGTTGAAACTCAGCATTATTGTAACACATGCAATGTATCACTTTTCATCATCATAAACCCAAAGCAAATTCTCTGTTATTCTAAAGAACTCCAAGTTGCTCATAAACATAATTCAGTGTCTCTCATCTGGATATGTAGGGTGTCAGATAATCGCCCTCTTAGAGCAAGTTATGAGTATGCGACATGGTATGCACGATAGAATCAATTGTAGAGGTAGTGATATTCAACTCATTATATCTCACTCATCTAGGGTCTAAGGAAATTGAATCTCGACGAGGTACATGTCACTTGAACCGGGAAAGAGATCTCTCGAGGAGACGAGGAGTCTTTCATACTTAACCTATTTAGGACTTTTTCAATGTCAATTTTTTTCCAATGTCAATACTATGACTTAGTCATCATTAGTTTTTAGATCTATCTCTGTATATAGACCTTGATGCTAATACCTAGTTAGGTTGCAAAACTTTGAATGGACAAACATGTTAACATCATGTCTTTACACATGAGAGCGTATGAACATTGTTTCCAACTTATCAATTGATAAAATTAGGAAAGTTATTTCACTTTCACTCAATTTAAAGTACACGAAAATGTCTCCTTCATTTTGCGCAAAGTCATACTATTTGATAACATCACTAAAATGAATATTTCAACTTTGCTTGCGACCTTAAATAAATTTATAAAGCTTGCATACCTTCTATGAGTGCTTGTATGTAAAATTTTTGGATTTATTTTGTGTAATATACACATTCTTGTAAGGTTCCTACAAATGAAAGTTCATTTAGAATCCATTTGTCAATTTCATAATCACAGAGAGAAGGTTTTCATAGTGCGTGAATACCATGGATATATTAATAGCCATGTTTCACTAGGTGTGTCTTGTAAACATCTATGGTGTCATTTATGTCTATTTTTGAAAAGTCATTTGCACACCTACACCCTTTGGCTCCAAAAGGGAGTATTTATAAGAGAAAAGTGGACCAGACTCCCGGTCTTGGGCCTGAGAGGTCCAATTACAATAATGGGCCGCTAGGGACTATTTACATGTGTTTATCCCGCTAAGTATAAAGTAGATCAGAGTTATTCGATGAAGGTCCTGGCCGAGGGGTTCAGGTCGAGGGGACCAGACTAAGGGGGCCTGCCAGAGGTGAACATTCTTGATCCATGACTTTAATCTTCATCTTCTGGGTTTCATCTGTGTGAGCCGCAGTCTTGGCCAATAATCGTAAGATCGATGGTCCAAATCTATATACTCTATCGGTTTCCATATTGGATTTCATGGTCTGACTTCTAAACATAATTCAGTGACTCTCATCTTGATGTGTACGGTGTCAAATAATCACCCTCTTAGAGCAAATTATGAATATGCAACATGGTATGCATGATAGAATCTATTACAGAGGCAGTGATAATCTACTCAATTTATCTTACTCATTTAGGGTTTGAGGACATTGAATCTCGATGAGGTACATATCATGTGAACTAGGGAAACGATCTCTTGAGGAGTCTTTCATACTTAACCTAAGTAGGATTTTTTCAATGTCACCACTATGACTTAGTCATCGTATTAGTTTTTAGATCCATCTCTATATATAGGCCTTGATGCTAATACATAGTAGGCATCAAAACTTTGAGTGGAGAAACATGCATGTTCACATCATGTCTTTACACACGAGAGCGTATGAACATTGTTTTCAACGCATGAACTCATAAAATTAGGAAAGTTATTTCACTTTGTCTCAATTTAATTTACACATAAATGTCTCTTTCACTTTGCGTGAAGTCATACTATTTGATAATATAACTAAAATGATTATTTCAACCTTGCTTGTGAGCTTAAATAATTTTATAAAGCTTGCATACCTTCTATCATTGCTTGTGTGTAAAATTTCTGGATTTGTAAAATATACACATTCTTTTAACTTTTTAAGGGTTCTACAAATGAAAGTTCCTTTAGAATCCATTTGCCAATTTCATAATCATAGAGAGAAGGTTTCATCACAGTGCGTGAATACCATGAATTTATTAATAGCCTTGTTTCACTTTGCGAGTCTTGTAAACATCTATGGTGTCATTTATGTCTATTTTTGAAGTCATTTGCACAATTACACCCAATCTCTAACCACAAGGAAGATGAACCAACTCCGAAACTTGATTATTATTATTAATGGTTCCCATATTGGAATTCATGGCTACTAAACATTTATAGGAGTGTGATTGATGTTCTTGTAGTTGTTAATAGAGTACGCGAGAGATCTTCTTCACTTCATGATCTGGCAATTTGCAAGTAAACAAGTGTCGGTTGTAGTAATAAATGGCGAGTTGATCCACATGGAAATATTTAATTATAAAGTTTGGGATAATTAATTCAAAGTATGGCAATGATATGAAGTGCAAATGTTTTTCTTTGATTATGTCTTTAAAGTAAGAATAAGAATAATCAAAGCGTTGGAATTCACCCAAACGTTTACTAGAGTTCAATACATACTAGTTCTTTGCCAGTTATTAGGAGTTTTGTGTTGCTATAATATTTCCGAGTTAGGTTAATGAAGTGAGAATGTGGTTTTCATTACGTGTGAGACATGTTACAACTCACATTCATCTAAAGAAATTAAACCCCCTGTTAATATTAAGAAATCTTATATAATTCCTTGTTACTTTTCCTCTTGCTTCCTTTACAAGTTTCTTTGTTCTTCTTCTAGCCTCATTGTACTCCTCTATGTTCTCGTCGCTCCAACTTTTGCCCAAATTCTTATATCATCCCCTTTTGGTCCTTATTGCTTGTTTCACCTCATTATTCCACCAAGATGTGTCTTTTTTTAATGGCCGACATCCTTTAGATTCTCCAAATATCTCCTTACCCACTTTGTTAATGGTGGAATCCATTGATAACCACACATCATCCACATGTGTGTCATTATCAATGTTCTAAAAGGCGCTAGGCACTAGTCGGGCGCCAGCCCAACGCCTAGCGCCTAGGCGGCTAGGCGGGCGCCTAGGCGGGGACTAGTCGGAGACATAGGAATTGCATTCTTATCTATATTTTTGCATAAATATGATAAGTAGTTTTGTATTTTTGTGTTTATAGAATACATATATACTTATACATTAACAAACATGAATGATAGAATTATCACATTTAATCATACGTAGTATATGATAATTAATCACTTAACTTCATTATGTTAAAAATATAAATAATGATAAAATTTAGGTATATATACAAACTATATAGTTTTATCTTAATTTACAACTTCATTTCTTTATATTCATGGCTAAAGTTAGAGTACGTATATCGCTTAGGAAATTAAAATTAAAAAGTGAAGTAATGTTCGGTGAATCTAGACGGACTAGGCGGCCGATTAGGCGCTCTAGGCGGGCAACTAGGCGCCATAGGCGGCCGACTAATTCACCTAGACGGCAAACCAATTAGTCGGAGCGCCTAGACGAAAATCGGGGCGCCCGACCACCGCCTAGCGCCTAGGCGGGGGACTAATCGGGCGTCTAGAACGATTTTTAGAACAGAGGTCATTATCAATAGACCATACATCTTTCTCCAACA